CAGAAAAATTTAAATGGAAAAAACGGAATTTGGAAAAAAATAAAACGGAATTTAGGAAAAAATTAAATGGATTTCATAGGGCCCTATTTATGTGAAGAGTGCTTTTATGCTTTGGTTAGTATTATAAATACCTGCATATGACCCCAGAGGGTTGGGCTGAGAGGTATGTTCTGGGAATCTTTTTTCTTTTTCTTCTTTTCCCCTTTTACTTGGACTCCCTCACTGTCTTTTCCTGTCTCCGCAGTCTTCAGCTTCTTATTGGGTTTACCTTCCGGTGAGCTCATGCTTTTCCTCTTAGCTGATGGATTTTCTGCCAAAAACTAAACAGAGGAAAATCTAATATAATAAAACAATTTTCTATAAAAAACACTTTTTTTCCTGAAGCATGTACCCCACCTTGTGAGGGTCCAGTAAAAAGTCGCTGAATTTGCTTGGCAGGTTGTACTTTTTCACCAACTCATCCTCCACCACCCAGGGGGCGCTCTCTCCCGAGCCCAACCTCAGAGCGTAGTGTCTGATGAAGTAGCGCATTATTTCTTTGTTGGGAGGCCGCTCCGTTCTGAACAGGCTGTCTGCAGGGACGTCACTGATAACTTTGTCCTCATTGAGAAGTTTGACATCATACTTGTGGGGCAGAAATTTGGGCATGACCCATTTCTTCTTCTCTTCTTTCATACTGGTTGGGAGTTTTCTGGGTGAACGGCGGGCCCTATCAGCTACAGACCAAAAAAAAAACAAAAAAACCCACCGTAAAACAAAAAAATATTTATTACATTTTAACTCACAAAGAAACTCATTTTATACTTCAATGTAGAAGTATAAACAATTACAATTAGGCTACTAATCATTTGAATATTAACCAAAAATTAGATTATTGTAATATATCGCGAAAAGGAGGACCATGAAGAGCAGCTAAGACTCACAGAGACTCTCTCTCCTGCTGTCCTCCTCTTTGGACTGTGGCTCCTTCTTCAGGTTCTCCTGACTAGCATTCTCTTTATCACTGGATGGAGAATCACAAGCTCCTTCCATCTTTTTCTCCACATTTTCTTCGGGAGGATTCTCCAGTGGAAGAATCTTTACCACTTTCACATGCAACGTCTTATCCTTGCCAACCTTACAGAGAGAGAGACAGAGTTTCTATTTCATATACATAAAGAGCAAACAGAAGAATTGGAAGATGGGAACTGACCTGGCCTTTTCCATTAGTTAATTTTACACGGATAATACTTTTACTAGGGATGTAACGATTAACCGCGAGCCGGTTGAAAATCGATTTAAATATGTGACGATTCAAATCGGTTGAGATGCTAAACAAATCGCGATTCAGTTAGGGGTAGGAGTTTATATGAATGCATGTCTGAGGGGAACTTACGGTCTTTCGATGGTATTTTTTATTTTCCTCTTGCCTCTAATGCATAACAAGGCTCCAGACTCATTCTTCCCACTGGTCGCTCTTTTGCAACTAACTTTCTCAGCTGGTCGCACAAGCACATGATTTGGTCGCAATTTTTTTTTTTTTTTTACATCCCTAACTTTTACCATTGTAGGTTTGATCTAAGCAAATACTTTGAAGTGTGCATAAGTAGACAGAAGAGGAAAAATGACTGTTATAGAGTAATTCCTTAACATTTGCAGGTTTTCCAGGACAATGGTACCCCACGTTTTCAGATTTTAAACAAATTCCAATTGACAAAATTCCCACCCTACATTTTGTTTATTAGTCCAAATATTAAATCCAAGTACATACCAAGAAGTCACACTCCTCATCCACAGCATACTTGGTAAGAATCTCCAGCCAGACCAGATCCACTAGCTTATCAAGAGATACTGTGTTATGGTGCACAATCTCCAGAACCGGCTTCTCAAACCACACTGGGTACTCCTCCTGAAGCCTGCCAAAAATCAGACCAAACAATGGCTACATGAGTTTAAAACAAACTTACTGTGACTTTTGAACTATGATAATACGCCACCACAATTGATGACTGTACTGATATAATAGTGCATGTATTGTATGGGACAGCCAACGATTTTCAACAAGTTATTGCTAACCAGTGCAGAGCTTGACAATAAGGACTGCCTGATAACCAGCATGACAGATGCTCAAGAAAATAATTATCACTGGCCCAATTTCTTCCCCGAAACCTACTGTTAGACCTACCTGAAAACTAAAAGCACCGTTTATTGAATCTTTGCTCCATTGTATTCATTAGTGCTATTGCTTCTAATTTGTTTTTATTTTATTACTGATTGTTTACTTGTCTTTAATAATGTTTGAACTTTATATTAGTTGGGCTAGTAGTTTTTGCTTGGAATCAAGAATTGTGAAATTTCACTGGTATCTAAAATATTAATGTTATGACAGTCTTACTAACCATATTAGAAAACAAGACATATTTACCATTTATGTCATGAATGTTTGTTCCAATTCCCACCAGAAAAGAAAGAGCAAAACTTAAATGTAAATATCTGTTAAAAGTGAATAGTGATTACATGAGAGTATTATGGAATAGAGATTACTTCAAAGCTAAAAGATATGGACTAAAAAAAAATAAAAAACTGGTTGCAAAAACCCAAACTTAGTTTAATAAGGACAAAAAAAACAAATAAATCATTGACATTTGATAATGTCTCTTGTCTATACGGCCTTCGTTTATTTGGGGAGGATTCATAACCAGTCAAGCTCCTATGAAACAAAATTGCTTAAAGGGTTAGTTCACCCAAAAATGAAAATTAGACTGTTTTACTCTCCCCCCGAGGCATCCTAGGTGTATATGACTTTCTTCTTTCAGACGAATCCAGTCAGAGTTACATTAAAAATTGTCCTGGCTATTCCAAGCTCTATCATTGCAGTCAGCTGGTGTTGCAGTTGAACGGTCCACAAGTCGTCAAATAAAGCGCGTGCATCCATAATAAAACGTGCCTCACACGGCTCCGGGGGGTGAATAAAGGCCTCCTGTAGCAAATCCATGCATTTTTGTAAGAAAAATATCCATATTTCAAACGTAATAAACACTTTTCTCTCACGTCTGTTATCTGTCTGGAAGCCGTTCCGGCGGATGACGCAGCACGAATACTCAGTGCGCGCGCCTCTGAGATATGCTAGTCCAGCGAGTTTGTTTATAGGAGCAAAGGAAGCAAAGTTTCCTTACTTTAGCAAAGGAAAACCAGTCTCCTCTTGGTTTATATCGAAATCTTTCTTTACAAATCCTCGGTTTGTACTTCTAATTCGTGACCGGCATTTTGTTTTCTTCTCTCTCCGCATTAGTCACTAATCACGCAACGCTGACGTCCTACGTCATCCGCTGGAGCGGCTTCCGCATATGACAGATACCGGAAGTGAGAGAAAAGTGTTTATTACATTTGAAATATGGATATTTTTCTAATGAAAATGCATGGATTCACTACAGGAGGCCTTTATTTACCCCCCGGAGCCATGTGATGCACGTCTTATTATGGATGCACGCTCTTTATTTGACGACTTGTGTACTGCTCAACAGAAACACCCGCTGACTGCAATGATAGAGCTTGGAATAGCCAGGACAATTTTTAATATATCTCCGACTGGATTCGTCTGAAAGAAGAAAGTCACATACACCTAGGATGCTTTGAGGGGGGAGTAAAACACAAGCTAATTTTAATTTTTGGATGAACTAACCCTTTAATACACTTCATGACCAGCAGAGGGAGATGAGAAACACAGGAGTGAAGAATGAACTGTAAAAATAGCTTCAAAAACACACTGACCCTTACAGCAGCATAAAGCTCTATATGGTCTGTACAGCAAACTGTTCTCTGAGTGTACGAGTGTCTGGTTACATAAGCAGCTTATGAGACTAAACTGTTTTCAATCTGTCACTCCAACCCACATAGAAAGCTGTTTGCACATCAGTTGAGCAGGTCACATTTTCACTTGAAGTTATCATTTCATGAAGTAAAAAAGCAAAGCATTTCCCTACCCTGACTGCTGATGACTCAATGAATCAATAATACACTCTCTTATTAGACTGTAAGGGGTTGAAGGCAAAAGGGCACCAATGAGAGAGCAGAGGTTTGGTCATATGACATTCCCTCAACACAACAGCCTGACAATAGTTTAGTTTACAAGCTCTCTGCTATATACAGCAGAAAAGCAGGAAATTAAAGGCTGAATTTCTGTGCCTTTAAATAGTTACTGGTTATTACTATTTATTTTTTTATTTTTTTTAATTCCAAGAATTTTTAGCCAATAAAATATTTTGGAGCTGGGCACAGCTATTTAAAAAATAAATACTGGATGAAAAAAATAGGACGAAATACTGAAAATTCCTGATATATTTGTCATGCCGCTGACCATATAAAAGTTGTTAAGACAGGTGTGTTCTCTGAAATTCTGATTCAAATGTCAGTAGCAAAAACAGTTTTGGCACGAGTTAGTAAGACACATTTCTTTGAATTAGTTCAAACCGCCTGTGGCACTGAATCAATTCTTCTATGACTGAAGATTTGTGACTTTTCCAATTTTAAAATTCTGATAATTCCAGGTAGGACTGGGCGGTTTGACGGTATATATTGTTACCGCGAAATAAAATGTCAACCCTAACAAATTTTATTTTGTGTATACCGCAAGATGTAAATGGGCGTGGTTAACTCACCGCGTGAGACTGAGACGCTGCCGAGGCGTGTCAGTCTTCACCGGGCTGAAGTAAAAAAATAAGGTGTATAATTTAAACTACTTAGACTCAGCACTAACAGCAGCTGTTTAGCTGATGTTCAGTATGCACACTGCTGCTCTCCTAGTCACTATTGAACTCTTCCCTCTCTTGATTAAAGCTCCAGGCGAGGGATTGCCAGAAGAGAGCAAAAAGAGCAAAACAACCCTCTTAAAATGCAGTATAAGAAGCAGATACCAGGGAACAAAATTAAACAACATAACTACTATTAATAGTATTCTACAAAATTAAAAGGAAGTAAATGTAATTTATTATGAACAGAATATTTTAAAGGGGTCATATGATGTGATTTCAGTTTTTCCTTTCTCTTTGGAGTGTTACAAGCTCTTGGTGCATAAAGAAGATCTGTAAAGTTGCAAAGACTAAAGTCTCAAATCCAAAGAGAGATTCTTCATAAAAGTTAAGACTTGTCCATGCCCTCCTAAAACGGCTCGTTCTAACACGCCCCCACATATCTAGGTCACTATGTGGGAAGATTTGCATAACGCAGCCCAAATGTTACCTAAAAGTTGCATCTAATGTCAATAAGCTGGGGGCAGTTAATCTATAAGTTGAATGTTTTTACTAAATAAATTTACCAATAAAAGAAATTCAAACAAGGTGAAATATACTTTTGAAATAAAAAGTATGAGTTTATTTATCATATAAAGCCCTTTTTGTATATGTTCGGAATAACTACATATATAAATAACTATATTGTGAAATATATTGTTAACGTGAAATAAGTCATACCGTGAAACTTAATTTGTCATACTGCCCACCCCTATTTCCAGGTGTTCTTAAACCACAAACATGTTTTTTATTAATATTCTGAACAAGTTTTTATTTTTATTTATTTTCTGTTTTACTGTAACATTTGCCAAATTTTAGGGTACCTCCTCAACATTTCTATGCTTTGGACACCCAAAAATGCTAGGTTAGGCACTGATAGCTTACTGTATATTGAGACACAGTCAATTGCTCAGTACATCTCTGAATATTAATGCATCCATAGTCAGAAAGAGACTTCGAAAACAACTGACAACTAAATGATGCTGCTGATGCTCCAAGTTCATGCATTCACTCGTTTTTGTTACTTACAGCTCTGTGACCTCCTGTTCTTCTTCCCAAGCCTCCTTATGTGTGAGCTGGCTGCTGCCGGTGCTTTTACACGTCCATATCCGCTCTGCATACCTGCGCAGTCGAGCTTCATACTCTCTGAACAACAGTGTTAAGGGCAAAAAACACACTCAAACACTGCATCGCTTCCAGCTCTTCTGAAACGTCTGAAATCTCAAGCAGTAGGTCCAAAGCAGAGCCGATCAAGTGATGTTAGCTCCGCTGTCTGTCGTATGAGAGAGACTCATTCATAATTAATGCATGCTTGTAGCACAGCAGCTCAATAATTAAAGGGCCAGCAGCAGCAGATACTGTATGAACACATTTTTAGAATTAAACTTGCAATTAAAAACAGTAATTGTAACCAAAAATACAACAGCCTCGGCAAAATTGTTATTTCAAGCACTCTGAAAAATTGAAATCATTTCAGAGCCAAGATAAATAATTGTGTGCAAGTTAATCTTGCATTGATCATGTGATAAATGCGTATCAAAGCATAATTATTAGTGGTCACCCAACATGGGCTTTAAAGGGTTAGTTCACCCAAAAATGAAAATTGGCTTGTGTTTTACTCACCCTCGAAGCATCCTAGATGTACAATGGCAGTATATCTAGAAACCTGGGTGTTTAATGACTGCAAGATTTAGACAAAATTACTCAGTTTTAAACAAAACTTTTTTTTAAACTATGACATGACTTGTCAGTAAATTTTACAACTGACACAAGGATGATGTTTATCAGATGGTGCTTTTAATCAGACAAGCAAAACTTAATGGCAGATAGAGATAATCTCAAAATGGCCAAATATCTGGTTAATCAATATATTTCCCGTTGCATTATTCTATCATTACATGTATAAAACGGTATGACATGACACCTCACATGATGCTAACCTTCAACTCAAAACTTGATTCAAACACTAATTTGGCAGATCTAGAACAAACGTAAACCTAGAACATACGCTAAATGATGGGAAAATCGTCTACTTTAAGGTGCTGACTTGGATCTAAAAGCAGGCCTAAAGTTTAATCACGTGATTAAATCTTGACGAACGAGTCAGGCAGTTTTGAAAAGTATAACCCGCCACCTCCATCGTTTTGCAATCTGAAAACTTCCCTTCATCCTTTCAAAAACACGCCTTCACGCTAAAGGCCCGCCCTCCGCGGACACGGCAGCCAACCAGATGTCACAAACCCCGAACGCGCTGAGAGCCTGCCAGGCAGTGAACGTTTCTGATTGGCTAGTTTTCTGATTCCGTAACACATGCGGGTCACTTTCCTTTTTATGCCGTTTAGAGAAACAAGAGTAGTTTTTCTGGAAACTTAGTGCAGAGATATCTGTCAGATAAGATATTTTGTGTGGAATAAATAAAAACACGCTTAAATAGCATTTCAAGTATCTAGTTATAATTACAAAAAAGGTTAAAAAAAAAAGAAGTTTTTTAAAAAAAATATTTCACAAATATTAATTAAACAGCATATACCAGAGAAGTAATATCTTGATTGCTAACGACCTAAAGTTCATCTCTACACATCCTGTGTCACTCATGACCAAACTCACGTGGCGCGCGAAAAACATCTCGCGCGCAAACGACCTCGCGCAGCAGCAGCACAGGAACTCGCACATTCCCCTCCAGCAGCAGCAGCCTGAGCTAAAACTGTGTGTACAATCATAATCACACTCTCCCAGCATATAGATAAATATTACAGTCTCACTCAACAGATGGCTGGCTGTTCAGGAGCATCAATCTATAAGCTCACATCACATATGTCTCTGCCTGTAAATAAGCGCGGGCTCGTGTCGTGTGTGTTACACAAGATTGAGTCATGGCAGTCTGGATGAGAAACTGTTCAGCCAGACGTCTCACACACACACTGTGCGTCCTGAAGCTAGCTCGCTCTAAAATACACAGGACAACAACAACCCCTCAACAACACGTAATTCATCATACTTCAGTACTCAAAATCAGACAAATATAACACTTAGCCCTGTCTTAAGAGTTAAGCCCCAGCTGATCTAAAAGTCATGGTCACCTTTAGCCTGTTAGCGTTACAATGAGATGCAGCGCGCAAGATGAAAACAATAATAAACGCATAAATGCAAACCCCGCGCTCGCACACGCTCAGACTCCGCGACCCGCGTGGAAACAACGGATCGAGACTCTTGCGAGCACGTGTTTGTATGTCTAGTGCTTGCAAGTGGATATTGGAGACAGTGAGAAAGGATACTCTTTGTTCCTGAAGGCCTCTTTAGTGTGCTCGATGATGAACACCTCCTCTGCTGGGCCCGGCGGCTCCGACGGCGGCTTAACCAAAGGGTACGGCTTCCGGCCTAGTAACGGTGCCATGGCGGGCTCGCTGCGGTCCTGGATGTGTCTGTAAAGTTAACTACTGAACTAACCCCCGCTCAATCTCAGCTTGAACTGAATATGCCGTGAATCCGCGCGTCTCAGCGGCGTAGCATCGGGCTAGGCTAGCGCGCGCTGCTTTACTTACTTTTACGGAAACAAAACACAAACAAAAGTACGGTTTTATCGATCAGTTACATCTCCCGTGTTAAATCCGCTGGATTGAGGAAGCCGGTGGGGTCATGGTGAGATGCCTGAAGAGAGCGTGAGGAGTGAGCGGAAGCTCCTGGGTGCCGGGGATGGAAGCGCGGAAGGCGACCCGTCAGAGCTGGTATGGCGGGCTTTCTTATGCCGCTCAGGTCCGTGTTGTTTCTCCAGGCCAAAGCGACTGTAGACCGCGTAGATACTGTTTTGAGGTACGTGCTGATTACATAAACAAATAAGAGGGTTTATAGCTGATTGAAAAATGGCGGGAGTTCCTGGCTACACCGGCCACATTCCGTACAACCTCAAAACTCCGTTACCCCGGTAGCAAGCAGCGACGCAAGAATAAGTCCCACCCATCGTCTCCAACGATTGGTTACTAAGAAACTACGACACAGACTGAGATATCTGATTGGCCGATTCAACTGTCAATTATACCTACTCCACCTTTTGTCAAAGCAATACCCCTCCAATCACAAATAGTGTTTGGTGTTTGGAAGCGTGGCTAGAGGTCAGTTTATGGTAAATTCATAGATAATTTCAAAATGACAGTATGCAGTTTGACTCATATACTTTAGTATTAATAACGGACATTTTATTTTTTAATATAACAGTTGATATAGCCAAATGCCTAGAGTTTAGCTGAAAGGGGCAGCGGTTGTACTGTAGAATTTAAAATGAGACAATAGAGCGTGCACACGACACTTTTGATCCAATTAATTATGTTAATACCAGTTTTAGCAGTGAAGACAATGCACTTTAAATAGGGTTTTCGCTGCCACATATGAAATAATAAAGCTCTGCCTAAAGCATATAAATAACGCTAAAGCATTAAATGTACAAAAACTCATGCAAACACTGTATTGGAATTCAATAATTTCAAGAAAATCATAATATTGGGAATCGCCCTTAAAATCATTTCACATGTACAATAGTGTTCTATCTCTGCCATACAACTTTGCAAATGATGCAATCAGAGGAAAGCTGCATAAATCCAAAGTGGTTTTATTTCCATCTGTCTATGTCCAGGTACATTTTTACCAGGCAACACTACATGGATCATACACAAATATTTCTTTTCTTAATTTGAAAAATACTTCAAAGACTATGGAAAGTGGAAGTCTTCATATTTAAAATACAAATCTGTGAGTGACATTACCATTTATAACTGACAGGCATTCCTTCTTTTTTAATAAAAAGTTTGGCAATTGGATGCAGTTCATTGAACAATAATAAACAAATCAAGAAACAGATGTTATTTAAAACTGCCCTAAATGCATGCATTTATTTACAATAAAACAAGAAAAACAGGCCAATAAAACGTATTTGTATAATCTTTAGAAATGCCTCAAACACAAAACAAGCTAACAGCTTAAAATTCAACTGTTTTGCCATAGTACATATACTAATCATCACTCCATGCAGACACATGTATTATACTGACAAAGTCCTTTCTCAATTTAGATTGAGAAACATGCACTATAACAGTTTATTTTCAAGATGCAATACAAACTGCTTTACCTTCATAAGAAAATACCTGACAAGATCTAAGATGATCTTTTTAATGTACAAAAAATAAAAAAAAATCAAGCTTTTTCTTTATCTTATACTGTTAAAGTGAGTTTCAGGCATTTGGCAGGTTGTAAAAAGTCTTTTAAATGTACAGTTTAGTCTCTTTCAGAAATACTTCTATACTTTTGACCTGCAATGTTCAACGTAGTGGTGCTAACTGAGAGTTGAGTTTTGCTCAGTGCGAACTCTTTTAAGCGGTGGGGCTCCAATCACCTCCTCTTCCTCCTGTGAAAAACAATAATGTCACACATGGCATGCATTCAACCAAGTTGCTTTGAAAAGCAAAATCAGGTTTGCATAATATTTACAACATATATTTTAATTCCCACAAGGCATTAGGTTCAAACAACTTCATTTATTTGAAGACTATTGGATGTTACCTGAGTAGAGAGAGACAACACATCTTCTTTAATTAGAGTCGGAGGCTCATCCGTCACCTCACTGCTGGTTGTTGATGCCTCTAAATATGGGGTTTGATCATGAAAAGTAAAACGTGCAAATACAAGTATGCATGTGAAATAAAGGCTGCACCATCATTACTGTTATCTTACATACTTGGGTGAATCTAACAAAACATGTCAAGAACATGCATACAATAAATCATAATTCACCCCAAAATTAAAAAAGGAAAAAAATAGTCAATTAAATATTAAATTAAATGGTCTATTTAGATTTTTTGTGTTATGGCATTATTTTATGACAGTTCAACACAATTATACCCTAAATGATCATTTCAGAATTTCATTTTTTTAAAAACAGTACATTTGTATTTGATGTACTGCCTTTAACTTATGCTAACAAAATACATCATTGTATTTTGTAATACAGTAAAACAAATCTTTATTACAGTAATAAGAATCACTATTCAGGATAATGGATATTGAAAAAACTCAATCGGAAAATACAGTTTATATATATATATATATATATATACAGTGGGTACGGAAAGTATTCAGACCCCCTTAAATTTTTCACTCTTTGTTATATTGCAGCCATTTGCTAAAATCATTTAAGTTAATTTTTTTCCCTCATTAATGTACACACAGCACCCCATATTGACAGAAAAACACAGAATTGTTGACATCTTTGCAGATTTATTAAAAAAGAAAAACTGAAATATAACATGGTCCTAGCACGTTCTGCCGAGGCTGACGGGCCAGAGAGCCCACCAGAGCCCCGATCACACCCACAGATCTGCCCCTTTTCATGTCCGACACCTTCCACAACAGAGGAGTGGATCCGCAAAAGCTGATGTCAATCAAAGCATCTTTTGATGGCTGATGCTCACTTTCACTTTGGATATCCATATCCTCTTTCACTTCCATGCTTGATGACTTATTAATTCCTGCTGGATCCCCATCCATCACGTCTCCAAAACACACCCTGGTGTCTCAACATGTGACTATCGCTGTGCTTCCGCTCTATAATGCATTTGCCGAGACTTTTTGTATTGGTACTAAGTTAAATAGGATAACAGTAAATACATGGTGACTAAACAAGAAGCACATTTAAGTAACATGATTGCACTGATAGCCTGTTTGAAAAAGAACTCATGGTTACGTTCACCTCGCGCTGCCTCCACATGAATGTTAATTCAGAATCTGCTGAAAGACTTTCACATTAAAAATGAATTACAAAGAAACGGAACAAAAATCACATTTCGATTCACAACACGCGTGCTCTCTATACAAGTTACTTCCCTTGTAAAGCATGCCACGTGACCACTTGAATAGCGAGCGCCATCTAGTGGTCCTCTAAAAGTTACACGTTCGGTTAGCTTTACATGCATGGTTTTAAAAAAGCCTCACATTGCAAAGCATTAGGAATATTGTATAACTAATATATTTTAATAATTAAAAAAAAGTCACATGTAATCTCCCTCGAAAGATCCAGTACATGATATTAGCCGCTTTTTCATGTGATATCTCTTACTTTTTTCATCGCTGTTTACGATGAACCAATCACACAACACAACTGGATATCATATTTATTTAATCGTTTTAGTATCCCCATTTGAGTACTTTGAATAGGTTTAAAATCCTACTGCTTAATGAGCAAACATCTCCTACAACAACAACAACAACAAAAAAAAAACGTTCTGAAAGATTAATGTGGTTAAAGGGGTCCTATTATGCTTGTTCACTTTTTCAACTTTAGTTAGTCTGTAATGTTGCTGTTTGAGCATAAAAAAGATCTGCAAAGTTACAAAGCTCAAAGTCCACTTCAAAAGGAGATATTTTATTTAACAGAAATCACTTTTCAAAAACTACAACGAACGACTCGTTTGGACTACAACGCATATTTTCCGGGATTTGTGATATCACAAATATCAACGAATGGGACGAGACCTGGTTGAGCTGCACTAGAGAAGGCAACGAGTGTTATCACTATGTCGGAGACACGCTAGCTTTCCCAAGGCAGACGAACTTAAGAGTGGTTACAATCATCCGGGTTTAAATCGCGCTCAAATTGATTTGATTTTGACGCAATATTTTCACTAATGCTCGCAGGCGGCTATGGTAAGGGGCATGACATTCCCCGACCAGGCGCCGAGTGGAGCCAATCACAACACACACTGGCCCAGCTAACCAATCACAGCACATTTCGTATTTCAGAAGGCGGGCTTTCATTTGATACAGGAACTATTCGAGCTGTTCATGCCAGACTGGGGAGAGAGGTGTTGTAATAATGTAAAATATGTGAAAAATAATGTGTTTTTCGAACAACCTAGTATGAGAGCCTGTTCTAGTACACTCCCCAAAACAAAATCAAGACTTTGTAAAGAGCACAATAGAACCCCTTTAAGTGCATTCGGTCTTCTAAGCCACCGAGCGCCCGCTTGTGGAAGAAAATGTTTTCCAATGACTAAAGACGCCATTTGTTTAGACATCCATTGACCGAATTCATTCAAAACGGAGAGTATAAACAAATATTAAAAATGATCAAAAACAAAACGTATCAAAGTACATCCTTGATGATATGTACATATTTACTTATTGGATACATTTACATAACTGTTTATTCTTAATGAATACCGTCTAAAACATACACTGAGAATTAGCGTAAACATCAGTGGAATTAATAAATTGGCACAAAATCATATGAAGAAAGATGAAAGCGTAAAGAAAATGTGAGAGAGAGAGAGAGAGAGAGAGATCAAATACAGAACTGTAGTTCTGCACATATTACAAGACTGAATATCCAGTTTTTACACACCCAAAAACAGGTAAACACTGTTTAACACCAATTGGCCCACTTAACAGCGTGTTTTTATTGGTCAATGACTGCAGAATATCTGCAAGTATCTTCCTCCATAATTCTTAGCCGAGGACTGTAGGGCTGTGGGTATAGAGAGACCCATGGAGCAGTGAGAGAGGGCTGGACATCCAGTCTGCACCAGCAGACACACTGCCTTCAGTGCAAACCTTCATTAATGCCATCTCACACACACCAAGGCCTCGCACCACACACCTAGAGGGAAAAGATAAAAGTGTGATGTATGAGGTTCAAAACCAACTGTAAAGCTCTGAATTTACAGTTTTTAGAATATTCTTAAAATCACAATGCTTCTGGACCAGGGTTTCTGCAGGTTTTAGGAAGGTCATTTTAAGACCAAGTTTTACACACCCAAAAACAGGTAAACACTGTTTAACACCAATTGGTCCACTTAACAGCGTGTGTTTTTATTGGTCAATGACTGCAGAATATCTGCAAGTATCTTCCTCCATAATTCTTAGCCGAGGACTGTAGGGCTGTGGGTATAGAG